AATACTACTTTTGAGATTGGGTAAAGATATGAGAATAACCGAACAGGCGATTTGTATCTCTGTCTCCGTCTCTGGACTTGAAGGCTTAAGCTCTAGAAAATTATACATATACAGAGACAATAACACTCTGCACCTTTCCCCTCTTTATCTCCCTCACAGAAAATAAAAATTAAAGAAAGAAAAACATATTTCGTACTGGTATACTTACATTTGTATCGGTATCACATATATCTTCCCCCTATCCGATTTGGATATTGCCATAAAACCTCGCGTATACAATCTGAAGCATGATACTACATAACATGTAGAAAACTAACAAGTGTACAAATCAATCCCTCATCCCCTCATCCCCTATAAACTCCCAAACCTCCACTCCAGTCCAGTCCAGTCCACTTCTCAAACTCAGACTCATTTCCAATCGTGCCCGCAAACGAAAAATTAAGAGAAAAGTCTTCGAAACTTCCTTCTATCTCCTCATTTTCTTTTTCCTTTGCGCTTCTCTCTTCTGCAATTCTATATACATATCTTGTAGACATCCTACTAAGAATCTCTCATCCCCCCCTCTCCACCATTCAAGAATCACAAATCTCATACATCATACATCATACATCATACATCATACATCATACATCATACATCATACATCATACATCATACATCATACATCATACATCATACATCATACATCATACATCATACATCATACATCAGCACCACAGCCAGCTAAACATCTACAACTATCAGAAGAAGCACTATATAACCATACTGACACCTCGACGGTACAACATATAAGTATATTTCATAATGTTATCTCTCAGTTCCTTAACAAGATTTCAATAGTGTGAATCATACCTAGTACCATATCATCTTCACCAGCCCAAAGTGATACCAATAATAACATTATAACAGTCACAACCAACTAACTAACTAGATGTATAGTCTCAATATCTTCATATCCGTGTATAAGTAAGTAGATTTTAGATATTTTATATACACAGTATCTATCAAGGAACTCACTAACCTACCTATTTATCCATCTACGTTTCCCTCTCTCGAGCATCCTCTCTACATTCCCTTTCTCTCCCCCTTACTCACCAACACAAAACTAACCTCCCAGATCAAATCGAGCAATCGTCCCCAGGATCCAGAAACCAATACTCCCCCTTGAACAGAAACTCAAACTCAAACTCAAACTCAACCCCAAGACTCCTTCCTGTACAGATTCCATCTGTATCATCAAGATTAAAGGCCAAAACATTAAGTCCAAACCATCAAATTCAATATATATATGGTATCTAAATATCCAGATATCTAAATATCTATTTCCATCTCCAGTTCTATTTCTATTTCTATCGAATATATACATTAAAACTTCCACATCTCATCTTATCTCATATCACATAAAAACAAGTAGATCATGACTAGATTAGACCAAACTGGTTTATAATGGGATATTAAATATCATATATCATCCACCATCGACCACCTACCACCTAGCAAATTCAACTCACTCCTCAAACCTCAACCTCAACCCCAAGTCAAGCGCAAGAATCAGTGTTAGTATTAGCACAAGTATCAGCATCAGCACCTCGATATCCCTCCCTACCTACTGACCCAATGACTTTTAGAAATAAGACTTCGAATCACTCCATCCATCTATCTATCTATCAGTCAATCAATCAATCTCATAATCCCTAACTATCTACACATAATCCAATAAATATAGTACAATTCAACACAACACAACCGTATATCAATCAACCAACACTAGATAGGTACCTACCTACCTAAATAGACAAATCGATTCCCCAACCAACCAAAACATTTTCTTCTCCATCTCCATCTTCATCTCCATCTTCACCATCTACCCAGTACCCAATCTCAAAGTCGAGTATCATCCCAACCTGCCAAAGCCTCTTCCACACCATCCGAGGATTTCCAAACAACCTCTTTCGAACGATTCCTAAAAGCCGAGATGGGGGTAGCGCAGCGATAAACAAAGATGTGAAACCCAATCCCAGCCCTCAAGGGCTTGATTGCGTGCAGGAGAACCCTCGGATAGAATGCTAGAGAGTCTTCTGAAAACCCCAAGGACATTTAGAGTGCCTAGTATGTACTCAAGAACTAACCGGTTAACCGATTATTCAATTATTCCTCCTTCCATTGCTCCCTCCATCCATTCATCCATCCATCCATCCATTCATTCACAAAATATTAAATATAAATATACATTCACACACACACACACACACACACACACACACACACACACACACACACACACACAATAATTCACGTCACACAACCACAAACTCTCATAATCAATAGCCAGATTCATATTTCAACTTCAATTTCAACTTCAGCATAAAGCATACATACATACCCCCACCCCCCAATCTCATCAGCAGCATAATCGATATTCACGCTAAAGCTAGGTATCTCGCGAGAGACAATCAGTTAAATCGAAAACAAAAGAACCTATGGTAAACTGTAGGTAGGTAGTAAACTAATTTGCTTTTCTCGAGTCATATGAAGACTCCTATCGATCCTGCGACTGAAACAGTGACAGTGAGAATACTAAAAAATCGCCGATGGATGGATGCTATGATGCTAAAAGTACAGAAGGTGTAGTATTTTGTGTGACGAAGAAAAATTCGCTTTGTAATGAATTTTGGAATTACATCAGTTTGTGAGTAATCAGTACTAGGGAGATAAGTAAGGACCTTGAGAAAGGATCGTGGTGATGATTTCGGTATGTTGATGAACTATCTACCAGGCGCCGACTTCGAAATTTTCCTTGGTGAAGGTTAGCAATGTCTTGAGTTAAAAAGGAAGGAGTGAAACATTACCTCTGGGAAGTATGTAGTAACGACAGTACGATCTGCGAATTTCCTACCCGCGAGGGCCTTGAGAGCCTTTCCTGCTGAGTCTGGTGTGTCAAACTTCACAAAGATCTTACCAACTCCAGTTGACTGTCTACTGCCACCAGTTGGTCTTGGGACCTTCATTTCCAGAACTTTGCCATATTTCTCGCATTCTTCCTTTACATCTTCGCAGATTTCTAAGGGATCGATCAGTAAATATTCGAACAGATAAACAGTTAAAACCTACCCTCGTAATCTTCATTATCAATGAGTTCTTCAGGAGTAACCATGTTGAGTAATTGTAATACTCTGCCATTTTCGAGATCCTGTGATGTGGTACCAGCAAGCATAGACATAGCATTGACGCTCATCTCCAAACCAGATACTTGGGTGTTACCAATGCTAGCTCTCTGAACTTTGAGATGCTTATCACCAAGCTCCATACCATTAAGACCCTCAACAGCAATATCCGTTGCAGCAGGATCCACATATTCACAGAAAGCGATTCCCTAAACCATGTTAGTCTCTGGTTAAGAACATAGAATAGTAAACTTACTCGTGATTCATCTGTATTGCTATCTTTGACCAATACGAAAGCCTTCAACTCTCCAAAAGATACCAATAGCTCTGTAACTTGCTCATCATTCAAATAGTGAGGAATATTAGTAACACTGATTTTGTTTTGAGTATCAGCTACAACACTAGAAATCACACCTGGCTCGAATGGTGTTTCATCAGTAACTGCTGGTACAATGTAATCTTTTGGACGACGAATGGAAAGACCTCGGGTATCTGCGGAGCCATTTCCTGTTTCCATATGGTCATTGCCATCCATGGTAATTCCGTCCAATGCTAAAGCAACAGTAGCATCAGATTGTGTTTTGAATTCAAGTAAAGCAAATGAGCCATCTTTTGAAACTTGTGCTGAGATTAAAGGATCAGAACCCTCTATGACATTCAATCCATTAAGCTGAAGATTGAAGAAACCAACAATAGTCTCTTCCTTAGTATCAGCAGGAATGTTATGGACAAGAAGACGTTTCGATTGTCTGGAGTTTGAAGGTTTGAGAGCTGCGTTAGTGACTTGTCCACTAGGTTGTGCCATGAAAGCTTGTAGCTTGCTTGGATCCATGGGTTGTTGTCGTGGTGCTCCTGGAAGTGGGAACATGCCCGAAAGTTTAGCTTGCTCAGCAGTAACATTCTCATATCCTGGTGGTTTGATATCCCACTGTGTCAATCTCCTCTTGCGCTCCAAAACTGATACAACATCCGTCAAATCTGGGGTGGGCTCTCTCTTCTTTGGTGGAGGTGTTGGACTCTTGTCTCGCTTTGCGGCTCGTTGAGCTGCGAATCCTCCGTCGGCATCTCCACGATCTCCACGATCTCTTCGGTCGCCTCGGTCACCACCCCTTCTGCCACCTCCGCCACCACGTCTATCGTCGAATAAATCTCTGTTGTCTCTGCGCGGCGGTCTTTCATCATCGTCCCTTCTAGCATCTCGTCTTGCTGCTCCACGATCTCTATCCCACTCTCTCTCGCCACCACCACCACCTCTTCTTTCCCTGCCCGAATACCTATCCTCACGTTCCCGCTCTCTGTATTCGCGACTCGTTGAGTAAGAATCCGCACCCCGTGAATCTAATTCTCCATCGCGGCGAGAATTTCTGGAGCCTCGATGTCCTGGAGAGCGCGAGCGTCTTCGATCTCTATCACCACCACGTCGATCATCTCGGACTTTATTTTCAATACGTTAGATAAATTGACCTTGGAATAATTGATGAAACATTCTTACATGATAATCTCTAGACGAACCATGTCGATCTGTTGATGCTTTCTTGTCAGTAGTAGCTCCATCTTCCCTTTTAGGTTTTGTCGTTGAAGGTGCCATGCCTCTTGATGAATAAGTATCGCCGTTCATATTGTTAATTGCGATCCAGAATATTTTTTCGGAAAAAAAATGAATAGGTGCGATTTTGATTGTGGTTGATTGACAAGCTCAAACCCGAGGCGGAATTTTTGTAGAAGCTGTCGCGAATCTCATTCGAATTTCGCGCTAAGATTAGAAACGTTGTTCCTGTAAAGCGCGCCAAGGTGGATTTCACCCAACCCCCATAAAATCACAATCGCTTTCTCACAATGGGCAATTTAAGGATCTCAGAATGGAGGAAGCTTCCAGTGAGTTTGGCAGAGCTTTGTATAGATACTACATTACGTTGTGGACAATCTTTTCGATGGAAGAAGGCTGTAGATGAAGATTACTGGTACGTGACTCTCTTTCTTATACTGTAGTCGAAAGAAAGGGGGTTAATCTTGGATAGGTCTTGTACACTACATGGTCGTATAATATCTCTTAAACAAGACTCGACTCATCTTCACTATCGTACAACATTTCCTGAGATCAAAGTTCCTTTGAATCATCAGCCTTTGGTGAAGGAGGAAGAGCTTGAAGATGAGGATGACACAGAATCTTTACTTCGGCATTACCTGAACCTGTCACCAAACTTGACTGAGTTGTATGAACAATGGTCTTCGGTCGATCCAAATTTCAAGAAAAGAGCACCTAAGTTTACAGGAGTTCGCATTCTCAAACAAGATGCCTGGGAGGCTCTGGTGGGATTTATTTGCAGTAGCAACAATAATATTATAAGGATTTCTCAAATGGTATATTTCTGATCTCAGGATTTCGATGACCTTTATTAATCATTCTGATTTAGGTCAATAATTTGTGTTTACATTATGGCCCCCTCATAGGACATATTGATGACCAACCATTCCATGACTTCCCACAACCCGAAGCCTTAACTGGTTCTGGAGTAGAGTCACACCTCCGCGTTCTAGGCTTTGGGTATCGAGCAAGGTACATTGCTCAAACAGCGTCAATTGTGGCATCGAAGCCAAAAGGCTGGCTCGAAAATCTTCGCAATCCAGAGACTTTTGACAAGCCCTTTGAAGGGGAAATTCCAGCAGGAGGACGTCCTGGTTATAGAAAAGCACACGAAGAGCTTCTCGAGCTTCAAGGTGTTGGTCCAAAAGTAGCTGACTGTGTTTGCTTGATGGGCTTGGGGTGGGGAGAGGCGGTTCCTGTGGACACTCACGTTTGGCAAATTGCTCAAAGAGACTACAAATTTGGAAAAGGAAAACATAAAAGTCTCACTAAAGCTACATACGATGCAATTGGTGATCATTTTAGAGGGTTGTGGGGTAAAGAGGCTGGCTGGGCGCACTCAGTCTTGTTCGCGGCGGACTTGAAAGCATTTTCTGACAAACTTGTCAGCAAGGTCGAAGTCAAAGTGGATGAGCTCGAGATCAAGCAGGAAGATGGAGATGTTCTGGAGAAGAAAGTAGCAGTCAAGCGAGAGTATCCACCAGAAGAGATGGATCTGAAAGAAGAAGAGAAAGTAGTGATTAAGCGCGAAGGTGTTACGGAGGAGATCGAAATCAAGGATGAAGTAAAAGTGTTTGAGCCATCGGCAAGAAGTGTCAGAGCGAAGAGGAGGAAATTATAGGCATTCGGAGGCTGTATAACTTGTACAATATATGTAAACTATACCAAATTGGACACAGATACTTTTCATTAGATTAAGGAACTCTGCTATAGAAATTCAGCACACATAAACACAGTCTCGTTATCAATTCGTTGTTTCAGAAGCTCTTGGACATTTCCAAGGTCGTCTTCTAGCTCACGATGGCCTTTCATCTGATATCCTTCTGCGTGTTTGTTTGAATATCAATGTCACTTTTTTCCCCCGAAGCTCGGATCATAAAATGACCCCTGTCTCAGCATTGAGCAGCAGCAGCAACCTCCCCACTTCCACATCATTTCCAGACTGGTACTGCCCGCCGACACTATGGGATGGCTAGATTTTTCTTCAAAATCCAAGAAGGAAGAAAACAATGCCACTCGGTCCTCCTTCTCGTGGGCGACAATCTCAATGCCACGGACTGGCAGCATTACACGGATCCGCGAACCTTGATACCGACAATTTTGTTGACCACCACCATTTTGGTTTCCACGCGCTTCTATCGCTCTTATCTACGTCGCATTCCTGAAGCTGCATATATTCGACCCGGATTCTTCAGGAAGAGGAGTTTGTTTGGGACGGTCACGAGAGTGGGCGATGCGGATAATTTTCACCTTTTCCACACGCCTGGGGGAGACTGGCGGGCTGGGGATGGATGCCCGGCCGCAAGAAGTTACCCGAGGGAAAGGATTTGAAAAACAAGACGGTAGGATTCACACACTGTTGTGTTAGGGTATCACACTTTCCACGGGCTAATCAAACCTCAGATCCACGTTCGAATCGCCGGAGTCGACGCACCAGAAGGCGCGCATTTTGGGAAACCTGCGCAGCCCTTTTCCGCCGAAGCGCTGACCTGGCTGCGGAATTATATTCAGAATCGACGCGTGCGCGCTTACATCTATAAACGCGACCAATATGATCGGGTGGTGGCTACAGTTTGGGTGCGGCGATTTCTCGTGCGCAAGGATGTGGGAAGGGAGATGTTGAGGGCGGGGATGGCTACGGTGTATGAGGCTAAGATGGGAGCGGAATTTGGAGACTTCGAGGCACAGTATCGAGCGCTTGAAGAAGAGGCCAAGAGGAAGAAATTGGGTATGTGGTCGGGGAAGGAAAAGGATTACGAAAGCCCGAGAGATTATAAGACCCGCACGGCGAATGCAGCGAATATGATGAAATGAATGAGGGAGGCAAGGAAGAAAAAAGCATGATAGATTATTATAGATACCCGGTATATTATTTATTCATTGTTTATTGAGAAGATGAATGAATGAATGAATGAATGAATGAATGGATGAATGGATGAATGGAATTTGAGTCCTGGCCTTTCGATTTGAAGAATGATCTGTGATTATTATCATCATTGTTATTAATAGTAGAACGTTGATATAGATCTTGAGATGGATATTGTAGAATGTTCTTTTAAAGGGGTAAAATGATTAATGGGATGATTGATTGACTGACATTTAATTTTGAAGAATGGTTTATTGAAGGGATGAACCTGAACCATTATAAGTATCTTCATGCGGAGGTAGCAGGTAGGTATTATATGAGAAGGTTTCCTCCTCAGGCCAGCAATGCTTGTGACAAGCATTGGAGACAGTTTTGTATCTATTGATGTTTGAGAAGTTGGAATGTATCTAGGACTGGGCAAGAAAAGATGGGTACATTCCTAAGAATAAAGCTCAAGGCATAGCAAGCTTACCAAGGGAAGAATGGAAGATCTTACTACTGCACAGCATAACATCATGTGTAGGTACTAGCACAAGTACTGCATGTCTAGGTAATGAACATTATCAGATGTTTCACGAATCAATGTTGCATATCTTCATCGAGGGTGATTATCTATCATTCTATTCATAGTTCTTCCATCTGTATAGTGATATTAAGAGACCCATTGCACTCTTTCCGAAGAATCCAATCAATCCAATAAATCAAAAGCAAAAGCTCATTGAAGAAGTACCTAGTCGTGTCTAGTCGTGTCTAGTAGCATTGGAATCCCATTTAGGAAAGTCGAGAGATGGGATGTGCCTTGATAGTTTCATCATCATCCGAAAGTGTAAAATGATTAAGTGCTATGCTCAGCATCCAAGCCAATTCATTCATTCATTCATTCATTCATCCATCCATCCATCCATCCATCCAAGGACTCTGTGCTCATCTTCTCATCTTCCCACCATTCCCAAAATGTTCTTCGACTCCTAATTTGTACCAACCATCAGAAAAAGTCAAATCTTGCAATTTCTATCCTCCGTACACTTACACACATACACACTCACACTCACTTTTTTTGTCACTCGTTTTTTTTCGTTCTGCAAATCAGAAACACTGTCTTTTCTTATCAGAAACCTTCTCTCTCGTGTGTCGTGTTTTTAATCAATCGATCTCTTTGTTGTTCTTGATCCTGTCACTGCTGGCTGCCCAAACATTGTACAATACCGGTACGTGTCACAATGTCTGCCCCTGTTTATGCCCTGCCCGTTTGCCAAAAGATGCAGTGTTGCGCTTTATTCACATTCACACATGCAAGAGAAAAGGAAAAAGATACACCGAGAGCCAGGGTCCAACATGGAGAGGCACAACAAAACTAACTTCTCTCTCTCTTCTTCTATTTTTGAAGCACAACAGAATATCAAGTGTCACCCTCAATCAATCCATCGTCAACCATACACTCATTTTCCAACATACACTTCGCATACACACTCACATATACACAGTCGATCGTCACTGTATTCATCCATTACACTTTTCTTTTTAACGTTTTTAACCGTTCTCGTATCATCCACCCATTTCATCCACAGATTCACCCACCATTGGATTCAAATCCGCCATCAGTCAGCCTTCAATTTGAACAACCAATCTCAATCTCGCTTGGCATCCTTTAAACAGCAATTCTGCCCCAAGACAACACTCCACCAAACTTCCAACTAGTTTCACAGACTGCGCAATCCAATCGAGCCATAATAATACCTACATATGCCACCAACATAACATCATCCAAAAAAAAAGAAAGAAGCAGAAGATTGATAGATCATCCATCTCCCTTGCAGACTGATCTCTAAATTTTCACGCACAATCTTTGAGAAATTAATTTATCAACGACCAAGGAGGATTATCCTAACAATAACCGCTTGGTTCCTGGTTCCTGAACACCCGAGGCTTACCATTCACAAAGCTGGCACAAAAAAAAGTTAATCCCATACTTAATCTCTCTCATTAGCCCAATACGCGAATCTAGTCCCATCCAATCAGGTCGACTTACCTTTTCTGTCTGTGAGTGAGATTACTGTCTATCACTTTAGATTCCTTCGACTCCATTCCACCTTGAACACCAACACAACACAACACAACACAACACAACTCTACGCTCGTTATATGCTTCGATAGACGGAAGATCGATTCTCCAACATATCCACGAAAGAAGAATTTTCCATCGATTTATACACCATCCTGGAGGACCACTAAATGGCTTAAGCGTTGCGCGTCAAGTCAATGCAATTATTCACGAAAGTGGAGGAGGAGAAGCCATCGAGCTTTTAATTCTCACAAATTTTGCGACACGAATAATTACTTATTAATACTTTTCAGAGGGGAACAGCAATGAGGTTCTCATCATGGCTGAGTCCATCAGCTAGGAATTCGCCATCTATAATAGCATTCTCTTCTCTATTGACCTTGACGCCATTAACGAATGCGATCACTTTCCAACCGGCTCCATCCGCCAACCTCGATCTTTCGAATCTAGGACGTGTAGGTCTGGGTGGAGATTTTGATGGTATTTCGCTATATAAATACACTGGTCAAAACGAAGATGGCTACAATACTACGACCCAATCCGTTATGGTACGCTTTCCAACGGGTGAATTCAATTCCTTGGCATCGGCCGATGCTTCAATCGCAGCCATGTGCCCGTACGTCAAATCGGATGGGACACTCGTGGGGGTAGTAATTGGAGGTAACTTTACGAGCTTAGGAAATGTGGAATCGCAAGGTATTGCATTGTTCAATTCAAATACATCGGCGATCACTGCACTCCCTGGATTATCAGGGTCAGTTTCGGCACTCTTATGCGACGAGACAACCAATGCAGTCTACATTGGAGGTTATTTTGATTCTACAAATTCTTCAAATGTAATCAAGTTGGTGGACAATACCTTGGTCGCCTTGCCTTTCTCTGGATTTAACGGTCGGGTCAATTCAATCTCGAAGGCGTCGAACGGAAACATCATCTTTGGGGGAACTTTCACAGGACTTGGAAATTCTACTGCAACAATTACCAGCAAACCTAGCAATGCCACTGATCAGCAAATCGTCAACATTTCTGGCGCCAATATCACAAGCAGTGGCACAGCCACAACCACGGGCTTTGACGATCCAACAAACATTGTTTGCAAGACTGATGGTATCGATGGCTCTGGAAATACTTGGTTATTGAAGGATGATACTGCTGGGTGGTGGAAAGCTACGTTTGGTTTTGGCTTCCAACCTACCAAGTTGAGATTATGGAATACACACCAAGGTGGTCGAGGTACCAAAACTTGGAGATATACGGCTCAGCCAATCAATGGTATCATGAACTTTACTTACATCGATCCAGCTACAGGTGCTAATGCAACATGTACATCGGAATGCCCTTTGAGCAACAATGCTAGTATTCCATACCAGGACTTTCACTTCGTGAATTCGGTCGGGATGGATGCCTTTCAGATTGATATCTCTGCTTGGTACGGCAGTGGAGGTGGCCTGGATGGCATTGAGTTATTCCAGGATGACATTTTTTCCTATGCTATTAACGATTTCAATGAGCCTACCTGTGCTTCTCTGTCAACTGCTTCAAACACAACATCGACTGGCCCTTGGACCATCAGTCCCTCGTTTCAAAGTGATGCAGAGTACCTCACAGGAAAATTCACAGCAGATACAGCAAGCTCAGCTTCTGTGGTATTCTACCCTGATATCAGAGAGTCGGGCAACTATACAGTGAAAATGTACACCCCGGGATGTATTCAGGATAGTACATGCACAAGCAGAGGCTCTGTTGTTGTAAATGGAAGTGTGGCTAGTGGCGCTTCTAGTACTGCCGCAACCTTCGGCTCGCCCATTACCCTTTTCCAATCTAATGACTACGACAAGTATGATCAAGTATACTCTGGTTACATCGAAGCTGCTAGTGATTCCTTCCGCCCTTCAATCACCCTCACTCCAAGTGGTCAGATCCCTGGAAATTCCGAGAATTTTACTATTGTAGCTCAGCGAGTTGGATTCATCTTGAACAATGCGACTAGCACAGGATTAAATGGTCTTTTCGAATTCGATCCAAGCCAAAGTGTCATCAGTACTTCTGATTTCCAGAACAATACGATCGATCAAGCTGGTATGAAGCTCAACACCGGTGCTGAGGTCAATGTTGTTGTAACTTCTGGCGACACTATTTTCGTTGGTGGCAATTTCTCCGCAACAGGATACGAAAACGTATTCTCGATTTCAGACTCGGGTCCTAGCTCATTAGATTCCAGAGGATTAAACGGGGAGGTTCTTACTATGCTCCTTGAAGACTCGACCCTATATGTTGCAGGAAACTTCAGCAGTAATTCAGGCTCAACGATTACTGCAGGTTTGAACAATATCGCCGCTTATGATATCACGCAGAATCAATGGAGCGCACTAGGAGCCGGTGTCAACGGAAAGGTTACATCGGTGGTACCAATATCATTAAATATCACCGCTAACACACCCGAGAATGTCATTACCTTGACTGGTGATTTTGACCAGCTCATTGCATTTGGAAGCAATTCTTCAGTTTCAGTTTCTGGTTTCGCCATTTGGGTACCATCACACGACAATTGGTTGCCAAACCTCGATATTGCGGCAATGTCTATCAACGGTCAACTCACCGCTGCGGTAAATGCTTCCGGCGACGCCATCTTTGCTGGTTCGCTCTCGTCCTCGCAACTCAGTGCCAACGGAGTAGTTTCTCTCGCATCAGGATTAAGCCCGTTCCCTGTCAAGATTCAAGCTACCCAAGCGCAGTCTACATCAACCTTATCGAAAAGAAATACTGCCAGTCAAAATGTTAGTGGTGTTGTAACTGGGCTCTTTTACGAGAATAGCTCGCGCAATATTACAATTCTCGGCGGTCATTTCACCGCAACTTCTACAAATGGTACCGACGTTAATAACC